CCTGGGCAGGTACAAGAGCAAAGGGCAAGTGAAGCAAGAGCATATGGCAGGGGCCGCAGACAGCCAGCTCTCTGTCCTCCAGCCCAACACCATCAACGTCCTGGCTGAGAAGCTGAAGGAATCTCAGAAGGATCTTTCCATTCCCTTGTCCATCAAGACGAGCAGCGGGGGCGCAGCTGTGGCAGTGGTCACCCACTCTCAGCCCTCTCCCACCCCCAGCAACGAGAGCACGGACACTGCCTCTGAGATCGGCAGCGCCTTCAACTCCCCACTGCGCTCTCCCATCCGCTCAGCCAACCCCACACGCCCCTCCAGCCCTGTCACCTCCCACATCTCCAAGGTGCTCTTTGGCGAGGAGGACGGGCTGCTGCGCGTCGACTGCATGCGCTACAACCGGACGGTCAGGGACCTGGGGCCTGTCATCAGCACTGGGCTGCTGCATCTCACGGAGGACGGTGTGTTCTGCCCGCTGGCTGTTGCAGGTAGGTGCCTGCCAGCTTCTGGGGAGTGGCATCTCCTCTGTGGTGACAGGACAGTGTCCTTTGGCTTTGGCAGTGCATGCCAGTCTTTTGTGATGGCTGCTAATGCTTCCTTCCCCTGTGTGCAGATGGTGGGAAAAGCTCGCCCTCTTCCATCAAACCCGGTGAAGAGGCCCTGGTCGCGATCAAACTGGACGAGAAGGAGGGCAGTGAGGCCAGTGACAGCAAAGAGAAGGTGGGACTTGGCAGGACCAGTGATCACCCTGGGGGGGAAAAGTATTCTCCCAAGGTGAGTTTTGTGCTGTGATCCTCCTGGGGACGTGGAGCTCACCTGGAGGCGCAGCAGCGCTGGCAGTGACTGAACCGCATGTGCACGCTGTCCCGCTCGCGTGTCGTCGCAGCCGTGCCTCGAGGCATGGGGCAGTGTAGGGTTTGTGCCTTGCGTTGTCTCCGGGACCTTTACCTTGGCAGTGGGCAGAGCTGCTGTCTCCAGCCTTCGGCCTGCTGTGCTGTTCTCTGGGCCAGGGGCTGGTGGGACCCTGCACCCCCAAATCCCAGCCTGCTGGTAACTTCATGGCCTGCCTGTGGCCTCCAGCCAGGGACAGGACCAGGATTAGGCAGCACAAGCACACCAAGGGCTTCCTGGAGGAGAGCTGGGTATAAACTACTTGAAAGGGAAGTGTTCAGATTTCATTTTTGAGGGAAAGCTGGCCCTGGGGGGTTTCTCTGGCATGCACACAACCATTCCCGCTGTCCCAGAACTAGGTACCTGGGGCTGGAGCAGAACCCAGTTCCCTTGGGACCGGCCGTAGTCAACTCCCTTCAATAAACGGATCTGTTTCTTTGTTTTCCCCAGGCTAGCGTTTTTCCTTTGAATCCTCCCTTTCCTAGCACACAGGGGAACACCTGCCAGCTCACCCTGCTGGGCTATGGCTGGATCTCTGCTCATGTTTGATCTCCTTTATCCTGGTAGG